CTTAGTCATTAGTTCAAGCAGCCCTTGCTTGCCTGCTTTATTAGTAATAGTTAACTCTCTCTTTTTTCATATCATTAAATGCTAAACTCTTTGCGCATCTTATTCTATTACCACTCTCCTGGACCACTGCAATAGCCTTTTTTAGTCTCCCTCCAACCTGTTTTCTGCATTACTGTCAGACTGATCATTTAAAACTGCCAAGTCTTGGGTGGCTCAGTCAGTTAAGCATCAGCCCACTCCTGATTTCAGCTCAGGTCACGATCTCAGGGTCATGTGATGGAGCCTCCCTCTCCCCCCCAACCCTCTGTGCTCAGTGGAGCCCGCTTCCTCCTTCTCCTTCTCCCTCTGCCCCTCCCCCACTCCTAAAATAAATAAATAAATCTTTAAAAAATAAAACTGCCAAGTCTGATCATTTTGTTTCTCTGATTAAAATTCCTAAAGACCGGGGCGCCTGGGTGGCTCAGTGGGTTAAGCCTCTGCCTTGGGCTCAGGTTATGATCTCAGGGTCCTGGGATCAAGCCCCTCATTGGGCTCTCTGCTCAGCGGGGAGCCTGCTTCCTCCTCTCTCTCTCTCTCTCTGCCTGCCTCTCTGCCTACTTGTGATCTGTCTGTCAAATAAATAAATAAAATCTTTTAAAAATATATTTAAAAATTTTTAAAAAATAAAATCAAATAAAATTCCTAAAGACCTCTCCACTGTGCTCTGTCAAGGTTCTGCATGGTCTAGTCCCCACTTACCTCTCCGTTCATTACACTGAAGAATTATTTACTGAGGACAAACCACATGTTAGATACTATTTTGCACATTAGGGATGCAGGAGTAAATCAAACGAGGTCCTTGCTTTCACGGAGTTTATGGGAAAAAAAAAGTAGATAAGTAAACAAATAAGATAATTACAGACTCCTGAAAGTGCTTAGATGGGGGCGCCTGGGTGGCTCAGTCAGTTAAGCATCGGCCTTTGGCTCAGGTCATGATCCCAGAGTCCTGGGATTGAGTCCTGCATCGGGCTCCCTTCTCCATGCTTCTCTCTTTGCCTCTGCTACTATCTCTCTGTCAAATAAAGAAATAAAATCCTTAAGAAAGAATGAAAGAGTGAGCTAAGATGGAAATAAAGTAACAAGATAGTCTCTGGGGAATGGTCAGGACAGATATTCTAAGAAGGCAACACTGAAGCTAAGACCTGAAGGTTGAAAAGAAGCCAGTCATGGAAAAGTTGGGAGAAAGTATTCCAGGCAGAAGGAACAGCATGTGCAAATACCTTTGCTGAGGTAAGCAACTTCTAGAAACCAGGAACAAAGTAGACAGTTGTGGCAGAAGTAAAATGAGTCAGAGAGAGAGAGAGATGAGGTAAGACTGGAGAAGTAGGTGAGAGCCAGATCATATAGGGCTCTGCAACTATAGAAACTGGTCTTCTAGTCCATGACAAAAAAAAAAAAAAAAAAAGCTACTGAACAGAGGAGGAATATGAGCTGATTTATATTTTGTAACAATCCTTCTAGCTCCCAGGTGAAAATGAATTGGGGACAGGAGGAATGAAAGTAAGGGACAAGAGAGGAGGCTGGTGCTAGGCCCAGAAAAGAGAGGACAAGCTTGCTGGGACCATAGGAGAAGATGGAGTAGAGTGGTCAGATTCCCAATAGAGCTTCCAGGTGAAATTGACAAGAATGGAGGATAGACTGGTCTTGAGGATGAAGGGGAGGAGGCGGTGGTGTTATTTATAGAGGAAGAATCAGGTGCAGGAGGAATCAAGAGTTCCATCTGGATTGGGAAGTTGGAGCTAGGCAGACGCAGATACTGAGTTCACCATGGACCATGGGTGGGTATCTCCAAAGAGATGATACTTAAACACAAGAGATTAGCCCTAATGTGCTCTGACATTTGAAGACTGGGCAGAAGAGGAGGGACTAAGAGAGGTAAAAGGAAAACCAGAAGATTGAAGTCCACAGAAGAAAGTGTGTCCAAAAAGAGGAGGTGACCAGCTAGGTCAAAGATGCTGGGAGGCCATGAAAGGTGTGGTCAGGGATATGTCCATTGAATTTGGCTGCTTGAGGTCGTTGGAAGCACAGTTTCATGAGAGAATCACGCCAGAAACCAGATTGGATTAGACAGAACGGTAAATTAGAGGTGAGGAAGCATGTACAGACAATTATTTTCAAGTTTTCCTTCAGCGGAGGTGTAGCTGCTGGTGTGTGTGGAGACAAGTGAGGGTTTGTTTTTTTAGATAGAATTTACTAGAGTCATGTTCTCCAAACTTCAGTCATTGAAAAATTGTCTTTGTTTCTGCCCCATCCTTACACCACAGGTACTCTAAGTTTAAAATTCATCTTATTTTTAAAAAAGATTTTATTTACTTATTTGACAGAGAGACAGTGAGAGAGGGAACACAAGTAGGGGGAGTGGGAGAGTGAAAAGCAGGCTTCCCACTGAGGGAGCCCAATGTGGGGCTCAATCCCAGGATCCTAGGATCATGACTTGAGCCAAAGGCAGACGCTTAACGACTGAGCCATCCAGGCACCCCTTAAAATTAGTCTTAAAATTAACTCAATTTTAGGGGTGTCTGGATGGCTCAGTTGGAATTTCAAAGAAAAAACAATTTTTTTGGTTATGGTCCATGTGATTTAAAACCACCTAATACTGGGATCATATTCTGAGAAACAATTCCTAGAACATTTCTTTTCTTTTGTCGTTGAGAAATAACTTATGCTTGGTTGAGTGAGCAAATCTTAAATGTAGAGCTCGAATAATTTTTGCATAGGTATATACCAGTGTATCACACAGTTCAAGTGAAAGAGTTTTCTTTCTTTCTTTTCCTTCCTTCCTTCCTTTAAGATTTTATTTATTTATTTGTCAGAGAGAGAGAGTGAGCATGCACAAGCAGGCAGAAGGAGAAGCAGGGTCCCCACCTCCCTGAAGGCAGATGCTTAACCCATGGAGCCACCCAGATGTCCCAAACTCAAGACTTTTCTACCAAGGAGGCCAGGGTCAGCCTTCAAACATAGCAAAGTCCTCATGGAATCAACAGTTTGCGCCTCATAATATTCCTAGTGCCTAGCACAGTGCTAGTGCATCATAGGTACTCTCTCTTTTTTCTTTTTTTCTTATTAGTTTTCTACAAAGAACACGTGTTATTTGTGAGTTAAAAAACCAAGTCCTAGGGCCCCTGGGTGGCTCGTTAGTTGAGCGACTGCCTTCAGCTCAGGTCATGATCCTGGAGCCCCGGGATCAAGTCCCACATGGGCCTCCCATCTCAGTAGGGGGTCTGCTTCTCCATTTGACCTTCCCCCTTCATACTTGTTCTTTCATTCTCTCTCAAATAAATTTTTAAAAATCTTTAAAAAAAAAAAAAAGTCCTATCCAGGGCACCTGTCTGGTCCAGTTGGTTCTTGATCTTGGGGTTGTGCATTTGAACCCCACATTGGGGATAGAGATTACTTAAAAATAAAGTCTTTGAAAAAAAAAAACAGTCTTATTTGAACTCCAATTTTCCAGAGTGTCTAATCTAGAACTTATCAATGAAAACCAGAAAGAACATCAGGATCTCCCTTTGGATGTTAAGCCCTAGACTGAGAAGAGAGACGTGTCCAAACAGGAGCATCCAGGAATGGGTATCCTGATTCCAAGCCTCCCCCTAGCTACTAATCTGTATTTTGTGGGTCTTTGCTCTCACACCCTCATACACAATAGTTAAGGACACCAGAACCAATTCACTAAAACAGGGAGAGCAAGACAAAACATCACCATAAGTCTTTAAAAATTTAAAGAGTCTGATATAGTCCTCCATTTGGCATCTGCCACGAAAGGAAATCGCCTGGGGCCTGTACCTGTACCTCTGTTGTTTTCCCTTTTCCAGACACCTTCTGTACAAACGCCCCTCCCTGAGGTTTACCCTCAGCTGCTGGTAGGAGGGTGTCAGGGCCCTTTGCGGGAGGAGTTGTAGAATGGAAAAGCCCTTTATATTCAGACAAGTGAAACTAATGAGTTGATATTCCCCAAGCACGTTGAGGATCAAAGTCAGAGATGTGAAACTCTGGCAAGGATACAGACATCTGTGGGCATGGGTGGGCCCAAGCTGGGAGACCCTGGAGAGTGCTACCAGAGGCTGTGCATACCAGGTTGGGCCTGCCTGCGACCAGACAGGTGTCAGGGCTGGCTGGAGAAGGCCAGGTCCCCAAGCTGAATGCAGGAAGGAAGAATTTGGAACCATTGTAATTAAATTAATTACAGGAATTTGTGGCGTAGGGGTAGAAGTAAAAGACAAGGAAGAAAAAAACATTCCACCGAGCCAAATGAACCAATGTTAAAAGTTTTAGCTTTTGCTCCCTAAAGGATGCAACCAGTGTCGTTTTTGTATAAGAAATAAGAACATTGTGATTAAAGTAAAAAAAATACTTGATTTCTACTTAGAAATCCATTCCTATCTTTACCTTCAAAGAGGCAAACTCTCCGAGGTGGTTTATGTGCTCCTCCCTACATTTAAAAATACTTTTACATAATTGTACCAGCATGACAACTTGCTTTTTCTATACAATCTTATTTTTAAGAATTGTCTGATCTGATATACATGAACTTACTCCTCCTCCAGCACATGCATAGACCACATTTTGCTGGTGGCTATGTGATACCAAGAGCCAACACTTAATAGGATGCCTCTCTACCAGAAAGGATCCCAAGTCCTCAGAAAGGATCCACGAGTCCCCTTGAATTCTTCACCTAGGAGGACATAGGAATAAATCAAATTTCTCATTATCACACAGCTGCTAAGTGACAGGGTAGGATTTGGGGCCCAAGTCTGCGACCAAAGTTCAGGGTCCTCTCTACTGCACCATCCAGCCTGTCCTTGGGTGGCTTCCCAAGTTTTAATGTTTCAGGCAAGTGGCCCCAGTACTGTATAAATTAACTATTGCTAGTAACAAACCATCCCCAAAATGTAGTGGCTTAAAGCAATAACTGTTATTTCTCATGATTCTGTGGGTTGACAAGATGGGTCTTCTGATCTTACCTGGACTCACTCAGTAGCTGTGGTCAGCTGGCAGCTTGGCTGGTTGGCCTACGATGGCTTCATTCATATGTCTGGAGCCTCAGCTGGGATTTCTGGCCTTCTCTTCCAGCTGGACTTCTTCAGAAGGTGGTGGAAATGTTCCAAGAGAGTGAGAGCAGAATCGGTAAGGTCTTGGCAACAGCCCCTTCTGCTGCATTCTTTCTGTTAAAGAAAGTCACAAAACCAGCTTTGATTCAAAGGGTGGGAAAACAGACCCCATCTTAGATGGGAGGGAATGCAAAGAATTTGTGGCCACCTTTAATCTATTAAAGTTAGGGCGCCTGGATGGCTCAGTCATTAAGCGTCTGCCTTCGGTTCAGGTCGTGATCCCAGGGTCCTGAGATCGAGCCCTGCATCAGGTTCCTTGCTCAGTGGGAAACTTGCTTCTCCCTCTCCCACTCCCCCTGGCTTGTGTTCCCTCTCTTGCTGTGACTCTCTCTGTCAGATAAATAAATAAAATCTTAAAAAAAAAATCTACTAAAGTAACCATCCTTATATATACCCCTGGTATATAGGCAGTGTGTGTGTCTCTAAAGTGTGTACCAAGAAGTAGAATTGTCAGAACTGGGTTTTCCAACTTGAGTTTTTTAGTTACTCAAAGATTTTTTATTGCAATATAATCCATATATCATAAAATTCACCATTTTAAAAGGGTGTATTCAAGACTTTTTAGGTTGTGCAACCATCACTATTATCTAATTCCAGGACATTTCTTTAACTCAAAAGGAACCTCCTAACTCATTAGTAGTCAATCTGCACTTCCCTCCTCCTTAGCCCCTGGCAAACACCTATAGATTTAACTATTTTAAGCATTTCATATAAATGGAATCATATAACATGCGATGTTTTGTATCTGACTTCTTTTTTTTTTTAAGATTTTATTTATTTGACAGACAGAGATCACAAGTAGGCAGAGAGGCAGGCAGAGAAAGAGGGGGAAGCAGGCCCCCCACTGAGCAGAGAGCCTGATGTGGGGCTCCATCCCAGGACCCTGAGATCATGACCTGAGCTGAAGGCAGAGGATTAACCCACTGAGCCACCCAGGAGCCCCTGTATCTGGCTTCTTAAACTTGGCATAATGTTTTCAGGTTCATCTACATTGTAGCATGTATCATTACTTCATTCCTTTTTTATGGCTGAACAATATTCCACTGTATTGGTTAACCACAATTTGTTTATCTATTCATCAGCTGATAGACATTTATGTTGTTTCTGCTTTTTAGCTGCTATGAATAATACTATTATGAATGTTCATGTACAAGTTTTTGTACAAACACACATTTTCTCTTCTCTGGGATATATACCTTAGAGTAGAATTGCTGGGTCATACAGTAATTCTATGTTTAACTTTTTGAGGAAGTGCCAAACTAGTTTCCACAGTGGCTGAACCATTTTACGTTTCTACCAACAATTCATGAGGTTTCCAATTTCTCCAAATCTTTGCCAACACTTGCTATTTTCCATTAAAAAATTATAGCCATTCTAGTGAGTGTAAAGTGCTATTTTGTTGTGATTTTGATTTGCATTTCTCTAATGATTAATGATGTGGAGCATTTTTTCATGCATTTATTGGCCATTGGCATGTCTTCTTTGGAGAAAGGTCTACTGAAATCCTTTGTCCACTTTTAGAATGGGTTGTCTTTTTATTGTTGAATTTTAAGAGTTATTTTTTCCTTTAAGATTTTATTTATTTATTTGACAGAGAGAGAGCACAAGCAGGGGGAGCAGCAGGTAGAAGCAAAGGGAAAAGCAGAAGCAGGCAGAGGAAGAGGGAGAAGCAGGCTCCCCACTGAGCAAGGAGCCCAACGTGGGGCTCCATCCCAGGACTCTGGGATCATGATCTGAGCTGAGGGCAGATGCTTAACCAACTGAGCCAACCAGGGGCCCCTGTAAGAGTTCTTTATATATTCTGGGTATTAGACCCCAGTCAAATATATGATGTACAGATACTTTTTTCCCATTCTGTGGGTTGTCTTTTCACTTTCTCAACAGTATCCTTTAAAACACAGAAGTTTTTATATTCATGAAGTCCAAATTATCTATTTTTTCTTTGATTGCTCATGCTTTTAGTGTCATATCCAAGAAATCATTACTTAAACCTAGGTTATAAAAAGTTACACTCATGTTTTCTTCTAAAAGTTTTACAATTTTAGCTCTTACATGTAGGTCTTTGATCCAATTTTAGTTCATTCTTAAATATGGTGTGAGGTAAGGGTCCAGCCTCATTTCCTTGGTTATCCAATACCATTTGCTGAAAAGACTCCTCTTTCCCTATCGGGTTGTCTTGGGATCATTGTTGAAAATCAACTGGGTACCATTACAATATCAAACGTTACAAGTATCAGCCAGCATCCTTGCCTTGTTTCTAGTCTGGGAATAATTCTATTATTTCACCATTATGTATGCTGTTTGATATGTGTATTATCAGGCACAAGAATTTCTCTTTAATTTGTATTTATTAATGCTTAATCATAAATGACTATTGAATTTTATCACCTACTTTTTTCTGGGGTTATTGAGGTGATCAGATTTTTCTCTTTTAACCATGCCATGTGGTGTATTACACTAATAGATTATCTGTTGGTGAAAGGCTTCTGCAATCCTGGGACAACTAATTGCAATTATTTTCTAGTCTGAGTTCCTTTTCTATCTCCCTGTCTCCGATCATGCTTTGGAGGGTCAATGTTGTTTCCTGTTCTGTGTCCTCATCAAAAATTCCAGTTTCTTAGTTGAAATGTTCTCTTAGAAGTTTCCGGAAGCTTGGATTTGCTCATTAGTGATGTGGTGGGGGTGGCTGAGAGGCTCCAGGGCAGACCCCAGGGCTTTAGGCTATGTATTTTCCAGAGGAGCCAGATGAAAGTCAGGGGCAGAGCAAGAAGCAGCCTTCCAAAGTCACCTACTTTGGTCATTAAGCAGCAGAATTCAAATTCTCTGTCCTTATCTGTAAAGTTTATTTTGTCTCATAAACATTTTTCTGGTGAAAAGTATAACTTTTCTCATTTCACGTTCTGAGCACTTCCTATAAGCCAGGCACTGTGCTCTGTGATTTATATAGGGATTAGCTACCATTTACTGAGCCTTTAGCCAGCTGTAGGCACCGTGTTAATTGTTCTACAATAGTATTTCATTTAATCCCCTTACCCACGCTATGGGGAGGTATTATCATTTCTAGTTTGCAGAAGAGGAAATGAAGGTTGAGAGAGGCTGAATTGCTGGTGGTCGTTAAGACAGAGCCGAGGTTCAAAATCAGGTTCGTCTCATTGCAGAGCCTATGCCCTTAGCCACTGTTGTACATGCTATGCATAATTAGCTCCATCAGCCCAAACTCCCATGATCAGTATTGAGTACCAACAGCTCTGTGTGACCAGAGCGTGACCAAGCATTGCCAAGTGTGATTGGCTGGAGTCACTTGTGGTCTGATTGGTCTCGGTGTCAGGCCATGACACATGCTCACATGAGGTGTTCTGCTGTAACAGCTCCCTTAGGGAAAATGGTATGTGCTTTTCTTTTTAAGCTTCTAAGAAATAGCAGCTTTATCTGTGATGTAATTAATCTATCATATAATTGCCCGATTTAAAGTGCACAAGTCAGAATTTTCTGTGTATTCACAGACTTGAACAACCATCACCATAATCGATTTTGGAATATTTTCATCACCTTCACCTTTTCTGGATATTTCATCTAAATGGAATCATACAACATGTGGCCTTTACAGGCCATCTTCTTTCACTTTAAATACAATCTGAAGGCATAATTACCCATGTTGTAGCATATACCAGTACTTTCTTATTTCTTTTTATTTTCAAGTCATATTCCATTGTATGGATATACCACATTTATTCTCCCATTCATGCGTTTATTGACATTTGGGTTGTTTTGGGCTATTAAAAATAATGCTGCTATGAGTATTTATATACCAGGTCCTAATGCAGACCTGTGTTTGATTTTTTATATGGTATATAAGCATTGCTTCTTCTAAGACAATCTTTGTCCATGTCCAATTCAACCTTTTACATTAAAAAATGTTCAAAAGCATTTCTTTTAATAAACAGCTGAAAAATGTTTTGGCAGTGGGTTCATTCACAAACTACAAGTGAGAGACTGAGGTAAAAATGGTTTCTCCGGGCAAGGAGTCACCCATTCTCCACTGATTATACCCTGACTGCGTCAGCCCCTGGCACACCAGCGGCCCAGTTACCTTTCTAGCTAACCCCAGCTATTCCAGATTTAGCCTTGTTTCTGTTCCCACTGTGGTCTTCCCCATCTCAACAATGGCAATTCAGTACTATTGTTCAGGCCACAAACCTTGAGGTGGTTCCCACTCCCCTCTTTTCTTTCCTTCACATCCTAATCCAAGCAAATCCTGTTGGTTCTATCTTCAAAATACAACCAGAAGTCAAGCCCCTTTCACCCTGGATTATGACAATGGTCTCCAATGGTCTTCCTGTTTCTAGTCCCTAGTCTGTTCTCCCCACAATGGCCAGATCACGTCACTGCTCTGCTCAAGTCCCTCCTATGGCTTCTATCCTCCTGGGTGCAAAAGCCCAAATCCTTGCAATGGTTACAAGGTCTTATGAGATTTCATCTCTGTTACCTGTCAGGGTTCTTCTACTTCCTTCTCATTTATTCCTTTTTTATACATGGGCCTTAGAACTGTTCTCAAGCAAGCTGGAGTATACCCCTGCAGCAGGGCCTTTGCCCATGCTGTCCCCACTTGTCCGTCACACTCTTGACACTTGAGGACGTCCTTCAAGTTTTGACTTCCTTCCACTGAGGACTTCTCTGACTTCCCTATTGAACGTGGTGCCCTCGTCATATCATTCACTACTTTCCAACTCCCTCACCCTGCTTTAGTTTCTCACTTGCTAATGTAATATCATTTACCTTTTATTATGTTCATCGTTTTCCCCTCCTCCCACTCTGCCATCTGCACTCTTGCCAAATCAGCCCAGGGAATGCTGAGATTTTTGAGTGTTTTTTTCCCCAGACTCTGGAACAGACTTGGCACTGTTGAATGAATGACCAAGTCACTTGGTGGGATCAGCCCATTCCAAGTTGCTCTCTTTCCTCCGTTTCTCTCTCCTGATACAAACCTGTCTTAAGGACACTTTTAGGTCCTTCGTTTTCAGCTCCCCACTCTCAGACCAGCTAATTTCCCACCTGGGGGCAGCGCCTGAAACCTCCTTTCAAGCTCCACTTTGGTTTAAAGGTTTAATGTTTTCATACAGGAAGTCTCACATTTGTGTTTACATCTGCCTGCCCTCTGGGCATGTCAGCTGCACAGGGGAGAGTAAAACTATCATACCCAGAGCCACCTACTGAGGAAGAGGCCCTGAGGTTCTTCCTACATACATTTCTATAAACAAAAAACTTGGGTTCATTCATTCATTCACAGACAGATCTGGGTTTTAGGAGCCTGAAGAATCTATAACTGGGGAGCTCCTCTTTAAACCAACCCCCCAAAATTACAAGTACAAAAGTAGGTACCTAACTTTGTATTTATTCAGAGTGAGAAAATAAACCACTACCAACCACAAATTTAGAAAAAAATTATACCATAAACATTACAACATCTTAGAAATATGTAATTTTTTAAAAAAAGATTTTTATTTACTTATTTGAGAGGGAGCACAAGTGGTGGGAGTGGCAGGCAGAGCAGGCAGAGGGAGAAGCAGGCTCCCTGATGAGCAGGGAGCCTGATGTGGGGCTCGATCCCAGGACCCTGAGATCATGACCTGAGCCGAAGGCAAAGGCTTAACCCGCTGAGCCACCCAGGCACCCCAAAATGTGATTTTTATTAATTAATGGGTTGACAACTTTTTCTCACCTTTTCTCATGCAGTTTTTGGTTGCAAACTCTTCATTCACTTCTTCATAGGATGGCCATTTTGTAATATTCTCTATTGAGAGAATAGAAAGATAATTTAGTCTTTTTCTAGAATGGTTGATCAAAAATTGTTAGTTATCACTAACAGTTTAAGAAGGTTTCCTACTCATTTTTATTTTTTTATTATTTCATATATCAAACAAATTTTTTTTATTTTTGTTATTTCATATATCAAAAATTTTTAATACTTTTCATATTCAAAATGAGTACATTTTTGGATTGTCCAATTTGGGACAACTTTACTAAATTTCTTTCATATATGAACTGAATAATTTCAGGGTGGGTTTTTTTTTTAAAGATTTATTTATTTGACAGACAGAGATCACAAGTAGGCAGAGAGGCAGGCAGAGAGAGAGAGGAAGAAGCAGGCTCCCCGCTGAGCAGAGAGCCCGATGCGGGGCTTGATCCCAGGACCCTGGGATCATGACCTGAGCCAAAGGCAGAGGCTTTAACCCACTGAGCCACCCAGGCACCCCTTCAGGGTGTTTTGAATTTTGCTTGTGTAGTCACTAATCTTTGGAGTGATGGGAATGGCATGTTTCAAGTTTTAGGTTATTTTCATCAATGCCTGCCTATCGTATCAAATAGCAAGAGATTTAAACACAAGCATTCTGATAAATTTTATTTCACCAGATTCTCATAAAAAAGAGAAGTGTATAGTACATTTGTATGTATATGCTATGTACCAGTTAGTTATTATAACAAACCACCCCCAAATTAAGGGATTTTTAAAAAGATTTATTGATTTATTTATTTGAAGAGAATGTGTTGGGAGGATAGGGAAAGATGGACAGGGAGAGAGAGAGAATCTCAAAAAGACTCCCCACTGAGCATGGAACCCCATATGGGGCTTGATCCCATGACCTTCAGATCATGACCTGATCCAGATTCAAGAATCAGATGCTTAACCGACTGAGCCACCCAGGCACTCCCAAAATTCAGTTCTTAAAACAATAATCATTTTGTTAACTTATGCTTCTGTGGGACAGCAACTTAGGCTGCCATCAGCTGGGTGATTCTTCTGTCAGTATCACCTGGCATCGGTCAGGCAGTCACAGTTACCTAGCAACTGGAAAGGGACTGTAGAACCTAAGATGGCCTCATCCACATGTCTGGTGGTTGGTGCTAGCTATTGGCTGGGACCCTCTCTCCCAAAGATCTCTAATTTTCAGGAAGGCTGGCCTGGGATTCTTTACATAACAATGGAAGAACTTATTTTTTTTTTTTTAAGATTTAATTAATTTATTTATTTGGCAGAGAAACAGCAAGAGAGGGAACACAAGCAGGGGGGATGGGAAAGGGAAAAGCAGGCTTCCTGCCAAGCAGGGAGCCCCACACAAGGCTTGATCCCAGGACCTTGGGATCATGACCTGAGCTGAAGGCAGACCCCTAACTACTGAGCTACCCAGGTGCCCTAGGACTTCTTTTTCCTTAATTAATTAATTTATTTGAGAGAGAGTGCACATACACAAGCCTCCAGAGAAGCAGAGGGAGAAGGAGAGAGAATCTTAAGCAGACTCCCCAGTGAGCATGAAGCCAGATGCGAGGCTCAATATCACAAACCTGAGATCATGACCTCAGCTGAAACCAAGAGCTGGTTGGTTAACCAACTGTGCCACCCAGGCACCCTGTAAGAGCTTGCTTAGATGGGAAAGGCCAAGAGCAAAAGCTACATGGCTCCTTGAGTTCTGGACTTGGAACTCCTGCTTCACTTCTCCTATATTCTATTATTCAAAGCATATCACAAGGCCATCCCAGATTCAAAAGGAGTGGACAGACTCCACAGCTTGATGGGAAAAGCAACAATGTCATATTGCAAAAGGCATTTGTGTAATGATGGGAAGAATGATTGTGAACATCTTTGCAAATGATCTACTATGTAGTGCATTACTGAGTATATTCTTAATAGGAGACCACAAAGAATAAATGCCCCCAAAAAGTTACATCAAGAAATATCATTTTCGGGTGCCTGGGTGGCTCAGTGGGTTAAGCCACTGCCTTCGGCTCAGGTCATGATCTCAGGGTCCTGGGATCGAGTCCCGCATCGGGCTCTCTGCTCGGCAGGGAGCCTGCTTCCCTCTCTCTCTCTGCCTGCCTCTCTATCTACTTGTGATCTCTCTCTGTCAAATAAATAAATAAAATCTTTAAAAAAAAAAAAGAAATATCATTTTCAAACTATAGAAAGCCAAAGATAAAGAATAAAAACTAAAAAATAAGCAGACAAATTCTAAAAGTAGCCAGAAGGGGGAAAAATACCTTACTTATACAGGATCAAACTTAAGAATTAAATTCAACATTTCCTCAGAACCATTCAAACAAGAAGAGAATAGTGAAATATTTACAGAGTTGCGGGAAAAACTCCACCAGTGTAGAATTCTGTATGCTCTGAAATTATCTTTTCAAAAGTAAAGGAAAAATAAGGTTTTCCTCTGACAAACAAAAATTGAGAATTTGCTGCCAGTAGAGCCTGCTTTGCAAGAAATATTAAAAGAGTTTCTTTAGAGAGAAGGAATACTATAGGCGTGCCTGGGTGCCTCAGTCAATTACATGTCAGACTCTTGGTTTTGGATTGGGTCATTATCTTGCAGTCATGAGACAGAGCCCCATGTTGGGCTCTGCACTCAGCACGGAATCTGCTTGGGGTTTCCTCTCTTCCTCTCCCTCCCCTCCTGCTCTCCTGTCACTTGTTCTCATGCACATACTCTCTTAATAAGAGAGAGTACAGGGGCGCCTGGGTGGCTCAGTGGGTTAAGCCTTCGGCTCAGGTCATGATCCCAGGGTCCTGGGATCGAGCCCCACAGCGGGCTCTCTGCTCAGTGGGGAGCCTGCTTCCCCCTGTCTCTCTGCCTGCCTCTCTGCCTACTTGTGATCTCTGTCAAATAAATAAATAAAATCTTTAAAAAGAGAGAGAGAGTATAAATAAGTAAATATAATTAAATAAATCTATTTAGATTTATTTCTTATACGTAAATAAATAAAATCTATAAAAAATAGAAGAATAAAAAAAAAGGAAGGAAAATTATATAGGTCAGAAGCCCAGATTTATGTAAAGAAAGAAAGAGCATCAAAGAAGGAATCAGTGAAAGTAAAATAAAAACTTTTGTTTTTCTTATTCTTAATTGATCTACAGATTAGAGTTTGTTCAAAATAATAAATAACAACAATGTAGTCAGTTGTGTATGCTTATGTATATGTCAAATAAATAACATCAGTGACGCAAGGAACAAGAAGGAAGATTAAGATTATTTTGTTATGGGGTATGGTCTAGATGGGTGATGGGTATTAAGGAGGGCACTTGTTATGAGCACTGTGTGTTGTATATAAGTGATGAATCACTGCATTCTATTCTAGAAACCAGTATTGTACTGTACATTAACTACCTACATTTTTTAAAAAATAATTAATTTATTTGGCACCCAGGTGCCCCTAACTACCTACATTTTGTAAAAAAAAAAAACAAAAAAAAAAAAACCTAGTGATTTTTTAAAAAGATTATTTTATTAATATAAGGCACAACCTGTAGAGCAGTATGCTGTTATTTGAAGGTAAACTTGGATTAGGTATAAATGTGTATTGCAAACTCAAGAGCAACTACTAAAAAAGGTTTAAAAAAAAAAGAAGTAAACTAATATGCAAAGAAAGGAAAGAAAATGGAATCATATAAAAAGCCCAATAAAACCCACAAAGGCAGAAAAAGAGTGGAAGACAAAAATAAGAACAAAGAACAAGGAGAGCAAATATAAAACAGTAGCAAATAGGGGTGCCTGGGTGGCTCATTGGGTTAAAGCCTCTGCCTTTGGCTCGGGTCATGATCCCAGGGTCCTGGGTTCGAGCCCCACATCAGGCTCTCTGCTCAGCAGGGAGCCTGCTTCCTCCTCTCTCTCTGCCTGCCTCTCTGCCTACTTGTGATTTCTATCTGTCAAATAAATAAATAAAATCTTAAAAAAAACCAGTAGCAAATATGACAGATATTATTCCAACTATATCAATAATTACATTGAACATCAATGGTCTAAATATACCAATTAAAAGACAGATTGGGGCGCCTGGGTGGCTCAGTGGGTTAAAGCCTCTGCCTTCGGCTCAGGTCGTGATCTCAGGGTCCTGGGATCGAGGCCCACATCGGGCTCTCTGCTCAGCGGGGAGCCTGCTTTCTCCTCTCTCTCTCTATGCCTGCCTCTCTGCATACTTGTGATCTCTCTCTCTCTGTTTCAAATAAATGAATAAAATCTTTAAAAAAAAAAAGACAGATTGTCAGGGAGGATCAAAAAACAAGATGCAAATATATGTCATCTATGAGAACCCTCCTCTTTAAATATAAAGATATATATATATAGATTAAAAGTAAATGGATGGAGAACTGTATACCACACTAACACTAATTAAAAGAAAGCAGAAGTAGCTCTATTAGCTTTAGACAGAATAGACATAAGAGCAAAGAAATTGTTCAGGGATGGTGTAGCCACTCTGGAAAACAGCATGGAGGTTCTTAAAAAGTTAAAAATAGAACTACCTTACAACCCAGTAATTGCACTACTAGGTATTTATCCAAAGGATACAAAAATACTGATTCAAAGGGGCAAATGCATTCCAATGTTTATAGCAGCACTATCAATAACAGCCAAATTATGGAAAGAGCCCAAAGGTCCATGAACTGATGAACGGATGAAGATGTGGTGTACACACACACACACATGCACATATATACACATATATATACATACACACACACACAATGGGATATTACTCAGCCATCAAAAGAATGAAATCTTGCTATATGCAATAACGTGAATGGAATAAGTGTGTTATGCTAAGTGAAATAAATCAGAAAAAGACCAATATCATATGATTTCACTCACATGTAGGATTAAGGAACAAGGGGCGCTTGGGTGGCTCAGTGGGTTAAGCCTCTGCTTTTAGCTCAGGTCCTGGGATCAAGCCCTGCATCAGGCTCTAGACTGCTCAGCAGGGAGCCTGCTTCCCCCTACCCGCCTGCCTCCCTGCCTAC